GTCCACCCCCAACTCTGCCCCTGTGCAGCCTGATGGAGTCTGGTGGAGAAGGTGACCTCTGCCACATCCTAACCCCCTCCAGCACAGCACAGCAGGACAGATAAAAGAAAATCAGAGACGTGCAGGCGAACTCTGCCTAGTACCATGGATCATTTTGTTTTGGTTGGCTGTTAATGTGCTTGTGGCGAGGAGATTGTATCTAAAGAGGAGAGAGTTGTGAAGAGGAAGCACAGTCAACCAGTAAGTTACATTTTGTACTAGCTGGCTTACAATGAGTCCAATATAACTGCAGGTACAGGCCACATCCTGTATTGGTCCACTCATAGGTGTGAAAAAGAAGCAGAGATGTGTGATCTTAAGCTGGAAAATGGAAGGAAGGAGAAAGAAATAAGTATACGTGTCGTGTCTCTTATTTCCATAGTCAGGTGTTCCCTGCCCATGTGCTAAATCACTGGTTCCCAAACCTTTTCAGGCCCCTGCCCTCTTGGTTCCATAAACTCACCCCCAGTGCATCCACCCAGCATAGTTCAAAACTGTGGTTTGCACAACCCAGTAAGGAAGATAATAAAACAATAACAACTGGTTGCACATTTATTCGAAATCCAATTAAAACTATTTAGTTTAATTAATGCAACAAAACTGATGAGCTTGATCCAGTGATATCAGCTTTTCAAAGTCTGGTGGTTATTTACACTCTAGCACTCCCCTGCTGCCCCCGTGCCAATTAATGCCCCCCCCTGGTAATCCCACCACCCCACAGGGGACAGTACTGCCCACCTTGGGAACCGCTGTGGTAAAACAAGTATCCAGCGATCAGCAGGAGAATGAACCACTGAGCTCTACATAATGTGCCGTATGAAGAGATTTGGAACCAATTTTTATTTAAATCTAATTTACCTAAGTTTTCCTATTCATATGCATATTATGATTGCCATATTTTGTAGTTACTTACACAAATGGTTTTAATTTCCACTGCCTTCTTCTGTCCCCAGGGGTTGAAGGTATGATATTCAAGTTCCTCAATTATCAGTTTCATTAAAAAATATAAAATTAATAAGATGATAATTTATGAATTGCTGAAATGCAATACTGATTTCACAAGTCACAATTAAGAGCTGGAGAGTTAGGGATCATGCTGAAGTATTTCTAGAGTTAATCAGTCCTCATTTCTTGCTCACAACAGGGAAGATTTTCTTAATACCGGACTGCGCTTTTTGTAAAAAAAGGAAAGACCTTGGGCACTCCTGGAAGGGTCTCAAAACCCACGTTGAGGCAATCGCAGAGAAAAGCAATTCAAGTCAAGGTGGTTTTTAATTTGCCAAGGGCACCGAATGCGAGAGGGGAATTGAATTTTTGTGTGTCCTGCTTCCTGTGGCTTGAGATGCCCGGGGTGAGTCAAGAGAGTTAAAAGGCAGGCAATCACAGCAGAATGTTGAAACAGGAAGAGGAAACAGCTCAAGACTAGAATTAAGGGAGATAAAGACAAATCAAGGTTATTGTGCTGCAAGGAGAGGGAATTCCAGGAATGTACAAAATGGAGGAAGAAGAAAAAGAGTAATTCACCGCACACACCGATGTAGAAATAAACCCAACTAAGATCAAGGGAACTCACTGCCTATTATAAGGGGTTTAGGAACGAAGTCCTGTGGGTGCAGCAGTGCAGCTGGGCAGAAGCACAGGACCCACAACCCAAAGACCACCCAAAGGACCACGCGGAGAGCGGCAGGTGCCAGGGGCAACAGCATCTGGACTGACATGGCTGTGACATCATGATTTATTCCTTTCTATTTTTTGATAACATTTCATGGCATTCACTTTTAAAAGTGAGTAGAGAATAATTTCCAAATTCTGCATCATGGTATCAGAAGCAAACCCCGGTTTATTCCTGTATTCATGATGGCTCTCTGCTTTACGTGAGTTATAAAATGCAAAACTGCACATGCTCTGAGTATTCACTGAATTAAGAAAAATCTGGGTCTGCAAACACTTTAATTTGGCTTTTTGTTTTTTCTTTTGCTCTAACAGATCAGGAACATAGAAAGAATTACAGTATAAAGTATGGAATAATGGGGATGGGGAAGGTGCAGAGGAGAGAAAGGTTAACCGTTACTACACATGGTTGACTAAAGGCTATAAGACAATTAAGTCCAGGTTCTAAGATTACTGGTCTGCACCACTGCATGGGCAGTGCTTTAAGGGACTAAGGTCAGACTAAATCATTATTCAGATGACTTGAACATATACAGTGGTACCTCGAGATGCGAACGGGACCCGTTCCGGAACCCCGATCGCATCCTGAATGGAACATAAGATGCGACGGCGTGTCTGCGTATGCGCGGGTCGCATTTTGCCGTTTCCACACGTGACGTCATTTTGAGCATCTGCGCATGCGTGAGCGGCAAAACCCGGGAGTAATGCACTCTATTACTTCCGGGTTGCCGCGGAGCGCAACCTGAAAGTGCTTAACCTGAAGCACATTCAACCCGAGGTATGGTTGTACTCTGCCTTTCTTGGAAGATGCAGTGTAGTGTTTTGTTTTTAATGGTATTAAGACACAAAGCCTATAGTGCCCCCCCCCCGCCCCGGAAGGAAAACAGTGGAAAGTGATGGGCCTGGGAGATGCTTGGAGGACGGTGACACCAGCACATTAGAGTCAGTGCAGAGGGTAACCATGTGCTTCAGGAGCTCCCTGCAAGGCAGTATCTCGGAGGCTCACCAGATGATAAACCTGGCTTTCCATGCAAGGTTGTTGCAAGTGTCACTGAGCAGCTCTGCAAATATATATGCCTTCATTGTACTGTTTTGATGCCGGCTAAGAGCTTTCCTATTTATGTAAGCCTACTAAGGCATGTAATTTTATTATGTATACAGTGGTGCCCCGCAAGACGAATGCCTCGCAAGACGAAAAACTCGCTAGACGAAAGGGTTTTCCATTTTTTGAGTCGTTCCGCAAGACGAATTTCCCTATGGGCTTGCTTCGCAAGATGAAACGTCTTGCGAGTTCTTGCGAGTTTGTTTCCTTTTTCTTAAAGCCGCTAAGCCGTTAATAGCCGCTAAGCCGCTAATAGCTGTGCTTTGCAAGACAAAAAAACCGCAAGACGAAGAGACTCGCGGAACGGATTAATTTCGTCTTGCGAGGCACCACTGTACCATTTTTTAAAAGAGCTGGTTTTATCTACATTTTGATTTTTTAAAAAAATTGTGCCTCCTTGTTTTTCCAAGTCTCTTGAATTTATTGGTATTTTCTTATAAATATTTTATATTCTTTTATATAAACAGTTTAGATGATTTTCTTATATTATGCAGTATATAAATCCTGTTAAATAAATAATGCTAAGTGCTGCTGTTACTATTCTTTGCTAAACAGTGTGATTCGTTTCCAGAAGCCTGACCAGTCCTCTTACAAGTGTGTGTGTGTGTGTGTGTGTGTGTGTGTGTGTGTGTGTTATAAAGCCACCAAGAAAATGCACTGACAGCCACCTTCTTTGATCACTCTTGAGAGCCAGCATGGTGTAGTGGTTAAGAGCAGTGGGCTCATAATCTGGTGAACCGGGTTCGCGTCCCAGCACCTCCACATGCAGCTGCTGGGTGACCTTGGGCTAGTCACACTTCTCTGAAGTCTCTCAGCCTCACTCACCTCACAGAGTGTTTATTGTGGTGGAGGAAGGGAAAGGAGATTGTTAGCTGCTTTGAGACTCCTTAAGGGGAGTGAAAGGCGGGATATCAAGTCCAAACTCTTCTTCTGCTAACAAAGGCTCCCCCAAGCCTTGCACTTTTCCAAAACCCTGCAAGGTATTTCAGTAGGCTTTGTATAATTTAGAGGGAAGGAGGACCCTAAAAAACATATCACCTGACTGGTAATATGCATTGCCTGCCCCTGCCCCTCCTCCCACAATTTGTGGAGCTGGTGTCTGGCATAGTACATCTCCCGTGGTATCCAGGTTCCTCTGCTCAAGTTGGTTTCTACTGTGACTTCACAGGAAAATGCCTTATACTGAGTCAGATCATTGGTCCATCCAGCAACTGCCCCATTTTTTCAGGCAGGGGTCTTTCCCAGCCCTGCCTGGAAATGCTGATGACTGAAATTAAGCCAAGGCAGGTGCACAACCACTGAGCTGCCCTTCCCCCTGATTTTTAGCCTTGGTTGTCTTCCTAGGATTTCCACTTCCTCAAATTGGCTAAGGGCCAAGCAATGATGACTACAGAGGATTCCCCTCTACATCCTGTTTAGTTGGTTTGAAGGTTCAATTCTTCACCACTGAGGGCTTCCCTCCACACTCCCTCCACACAGCAGCGTGAAAATACATGATGTGAGTGAGTCAAAGATCCTGCCCCTCAGGCTCCCACGCGTATCTTTCCCTTCCTCGTCTTGTACTTGCTCATGTCTTTGTCTTTGCCCTTGACACCTTTCAGATCTTTGCTGTTACAGTCAATGATAGGCAAACAAGATAAGTAGTACAAGCTTTGCATTATCCAGGTGTGTATAGTAGAGTAAAAGAAAAAGAGAATAGAAAACAACAACACAGAAGTGGCACAGAGTGAAATAAATTCGGCACCAGCATTTTAAAAGTTGTAGTCATGTCATGAACTCCAAAAGAGGAAAATTACAAAATGTCAGAAGGGTCAGTTCCTGGAAGGTTTTGCTTGCTGCAGCATAAAACTTTGCCACACCAAGAGTATTAGATGCACTTTGGTAAAGAGTAAAAGGACCTAAAATGCATCTGGCTGTCTTGGCAGATTTAACAAAGATGTTGTGGGCTACTGACAACCCCTCTAGAGTCACATGGCATTGTGGGCTTTGTGGAAAATAAAGTAGCATCAGGGTGGAATGTTTTTTGAGAGCGGGGAGCCAAAAGCAGACATCAGCATTCAGCCTGGCAGATTTAATAAAAGGGGTTTGGCTTGCCATCTTTCATGCCACAAGAAGAAGCAGCCATGTAAAGACTGATAGCCTGAAAGACAGGTTAATGAGTACTTCATATATATCTTGAACCATTTACCTCTGACGAAAATGTATAACTCGGCCTTGAGTTCTTTGTTTGATGGAAGGTCGCTGTAAAGGCAGGTGAAGTAGCTTGTGTCATTGGCAACAGCTCGGTTGACCACAAGGGTGCTGCAGGTGTGATGTGACCTGCCTGGGCATTTCTTTTCAAATACCTGCCACCGATTGCCATCCTTGTACTGGTCATTTCTCCAGATCCAAGTCAAACCACGCGAGCCTCTGTCAAAAGAAGACATTGAGACATGAAACCTGTTTTGGTCTTCAGACATAATTAGGCAAGTACATATGTGAGTGTAACATAGAGATGTGTCACCTCAGCCTTGGGGAACAAATGCAGCCCTCTGGGCCTCTCTGTCTGGCCCTTGGAACTGGATGGAGGACAGAGAAGCGTGTGCAAAAATCCTTTGGAACGGCAGGAATGTAGCCTACCGTAGAAATGTAAGAGTCTCCTCCATTGCTCCAAATATTTTCCCCCTCATTCACTCTGGGTCAGGACTCACCCACTCTGGCATGCGGCCCCCCTGAAGGCTGTCCATGAGGGAACATGGCCCTCAAGCTGAAAAAGGCACCTCACCCCTGATGTAACATATTAGGCAGGCATATATGTGAGTGCAACCTATGCTTCAACTATATGGAATGGGGATGAATTGTATGATGCATGGATGTATGAATAAAATTATACACAACTTGGAGAAAGTGGTTATATAAATGTTTTGCTGCCTCCCTTATATCACCAGAACTCATTGACACTTCATCACTCAGTGCATAGGAGGCAGTCACAGCCACCAACCTGGCTGGTTTCAAAAGATGACACAAATTCCTGCAGGAGAAAGCTATTAGTCACTAATAATTAGTGGCTACTAGCCATGATGGCTATGCTCTGAAGTTGGGGGCAGTAAAAGAAAAAGAAAAAGTGCACCAAAGAGGGCACAGACTTGTATATTTTTTGCAGATGCTAATTTATATGTATATTTGCACATTTAGAAATAATTTAAATAGTAATAAAATTAATGTTATAGTGGGGAAGAGTGGTGAGGTGGCCTGTGTGTGCTGGCTTAGCCTGCTGTCCTAGTGCCAGCCTCAAGCTTTGTCTCCCTGCCCACTCCTGAGGCTGCTCCCCCTTTATAGGATTATATTTAAGCCAGACTTATTCCAGGCAGCTCTTCAAATAGAGAACTCCTTCAAGTATAGGGCTGTCCTCTAAAGTAGGACACATAGATTACTGGTACATCCAGCTCAGTGCTGCCTACATTGACTGATAGCAGCTCTCGTGGGATATCAGACAGAGAACATTATCAGTCCTACCTGGAGACACCAGGGATTGAACCTGAGGCCTTATGCATGCAAAGCAGATGCTCAGTCACTGAGCTATGGGCCTTCCCTACTCCAGACACAGTCAGGCTCTTCTGCCAACCAGCCAGACACCATCTTCTGCCCTGACCAGGTACTATCCTTGGCCCAGTAAGCACAACCTCTACATTCTCAGATTCTGCTAACTCAAGCAACTCAAACTGGGGACTTTCACAGGCATCCTAATCCCTGTTCCTCAAGATTCATTGGAAGAGAGTTTGCTTTCCATTCCATCTTTTACCCAAGTCACCTGCAAGGAGCAGGGCCTCCTCAGTGTTGGCTCCCATCTTTGCAGAATTCACTCCCAAATGGGACTCTGCCTGGCTACCTTTCTAGCTAGCTTCGACATAATTCATGTGTGTGTCAGAAGGCCACAAATGGGATGAACCAAACCTGCCACTGCTCTTTATTCCCTGGAGTTTGCTTATAGCTTGTTTGTAGACTGCTCATATACTACACTGATGGTATTCATTTTGCTTAAAGATATCAATGTTGTATGTTGCTACAAATTCCTTTAAAGCAGAAGAGTAGCTTCTAAACACTCTCTCTTTTTCTTGAAAGAGACAACCCCATTACGATCTGTATTCTGCGATCCCATCTTCTTTAAGTAAAAACTATGATTGGCTAGTTCAGGAGAACAGCTGCGGCTTGGAGACAGATCATCTGCTTTGCATGCAGAAGGTCCCAGGTTCAATCCATGGCATCTCTAGCTGGGACAGACTCCATCTGAAACCCTGGAGAGCTGTTGCCAGTCACTGCCAACAATACTGAGATAGATGGACCAATAAGACAGCTCCCTATGTTCCTGAGGTTGACTGCTAAAGCTGTTTGAGGAGTTATGCTAAGTTGCTTTTCCCCAAAAGAAAACTTCTGAAAGGTTAAGGGATGAGTGTTGCTGCGTTTCTTGCATGACATACGTGATGTTACAAGAGCAAGGTTATAAGCAGAACAGTATTGATTCTGGAGGAAAGGTATGATTATATTCCATTTTGGTGCAACAAATAGTGGCTGTTTGAAGTTGCTATAGAAATGCTCTAAGACATTAGTGGGAAAACACACTATAGATTTCTTCCAAGTTAAATTCAAATCTATTTGTTTCCATCAGTGTGAGTGAGTGGGTGTTATAGGGGCAGGGAGGAAGGGAGAGGGAAAGGGGAAAGAGTGATCGGCTCAGGAGCTTGCAAAGAGGTTAGGATATTTTCACATGTTGTGAGGTTTAAACACAGCGTTTTCACTGCAATATTCTGCCTTGTACTGAATTCCTTATTAGAGCATGAGCATGATTAGGAGGTGATTGCCAAAGAAGGTTTTAAAAAAGATTTATGGTCCAAGCATAGACTTAAACAAAAGAAAGCCCCATTTAACTCAATGAAGCTTGCTTCTGAGTGGACATGCATAGGATCACACTCCTAATATGTCAATATATACATGGTTATAGTGTTTGGGGATGCAGGGAGTGTAATTCAAAACATGTTCAGTAAGTTTTACTATCTGGTAGAAAGTTCTTTGATTGGTTTGGACAGAATGCAAAAGCTGGAGTGGGGCACCAGTGACCCTCCAGACCGATGTTTCAAACTGGGACTGTCTGCATCCAAAGGATCTACTCTGCTACTCAGCTAAGCTTCCTTCCTGTCACCACTAGGGATGAGTGAAACCATCCATTTTGGTTTCTTTCAGTTTCCATTTTTCTTAAATCCAGTTCTCTACACGTCCATGTCAGTGTCCTGATGAAAAGTCATCACTATCTCACAGTGCATGTTCTCCTAATACACATGTTTGTATGCAATTTTGCCTAAAATACACATTTTAGCCAAAGATTTTTAAAAAGATTTTTTTAATTTATTGCATTTATACCCCACCGTTCCTTCAAGGAATCTGGCTTTTGTCTTTCTGTTTTCTCAAGAGTGGTGAGAGGGTTGCATTTTTATTTTATTGTAGGTTGTAGGTCTGATTTTTCATTTTCTTGTAAAAGTACCTTGAGGTTTGGTGAAGTAGGGTACAAATATTTGAAATTTCTGCCTCCTGCAATTTTTGGATCATGGCTTAATTAACACCCTCCCATTTAGAATTCCTCCCCTAATCTTTCCTGTCTGGGGAAAGATGCTTGTTGGGAATCCATGCATCAACTCTGGATTCACCACCACACCTTCCTTTTTAGGATGGAACCCTGGATTCTCAGTGCACCACTTACCGGCAAGTGATTGCGAAAGGCTTTCCGGCGGCAACTGTAATATGATCACTGTTCAAGTTCAACTCCGGTTTCATCAGCCGCAGTTCCTTTGCATGACCTGCATCAAAAATGCACAAAGAACACAAAGCAAAACAATTTAAATACTTGTGTCTATATGGTTCCACCCCTTTTCACTTCTTAAACCCAAACTGATGGACAGGAGGTTGCAGATTTTTAAGATTAACACATCTCATGCAAAACTCTTTCACCATTCAACTCTTATGATGACAAATTGAGAGTGGAATATGGGGTGGCTTAGGGCAGCCACCACTGACCTGGAAGCCCTGCAGATGTTTTGGACTGTAATTCCCATCAGCCCCAGCATGATGCTGGGGCTGATGGGAACTTGGAAGTGCTGCCAGAGACTGATGGGAGTTGTAGTTCAAAACAAGTGGGCTACAGCTGGAGGGCGCCAGGCTGACAAAGGTTGACTTTAGGGGATATTCTGTGCTGGGCTTCCCTCCTCCCTTCCCTATTCCCTCCTCCTGCTTTTTTAGATGTTTAAAAAACTTGTAAAAAAAAGAGAGAGAGCCTCCCACTTTGATCAGCAGTAACACTTCCTCAGAGACTGGTGTCAGCGAAGCCTCAGGGGAAACGGAAGAAGAAAGGTGGAGAGAGGGAAGGCAAAAGCTCACAGACTTATCTGCGGGACGCAGAGATGCAACTTCCGTCGCCTAGTTTTGGCAGGGGTGTCAAGCGTAAGGGAAAAAGGCGGAGACTGGGCGTGGCGAGGTTCTTATGATGGGGGGGGGCAGGAAAAGCCCACTCTCGGAATCCGCTAGCGACTGAGGGAGTCATGAACTTTGGTTGTCTGCACTGTACATACGGTAGTTTGCACCAAATAAAACCTGTAAAAAGGCAAGTCGGAGTCCTGGCTGTTTCCTCGTGAGCAACCATACTCATCCCTGACAGGTGGGTTGGAAAACCTCTGGCACAATGTACTATATGTACCAATTTGAGTGGCAGTGTGGAGGTGACCAGAGAGCCCAGTGCCCTGATGGGAATGTGAATCACCCCCACCTTCATGAATCAGCTGAGAAGAGGGACTGTGTGCCTGTGTCTGTGTGCATGCACATGTCCCTTGGAACAAAATACTAATAAAATAAATAAAGATTACCCACCCCAGCTAATGGCGGGAAAGTGGGGGGGGGGTGTTAAACAAAACAGAGTATCAGCAAGAACCCAGACACTCACCATCTGAATTTGCTCAGAGACAGAGATTTGTATCTATACATATACAGTAAAGCCGCAATTTATGCAGGGTTACATTCTGGGGATAGTGCATAAAGCCAATTGGGTGCAATGTTAGGTGGGATTGCCAAAGGTTTTTTTAATCCTAGACACTCACCCTGTTTCCGCCCCATTTTTTTAAAAGTTGAAACTTTTTTGCCAAGCACATAAAGCTGAATGTGCACAAGTTAAATGCACGTAACTCAAAATCATAGAATTGTAGAGTTCAAAGGGACCCTGGGGAACATCTAGTCCAACCCGCTGCAGTGCAGGAATATGCAGCTATCCCACATGGGGATCGAACCTGCAACTTCGGCATTATCAGCACCGCGCTCTAACCAACTGAGCTGTCCAGGTCTACTGTATGACATTTGTATCTTCTTTTAAGTTATGTAACAATGGTCCTGTCAGCAACACAATTCACTTGGCTTAGTGGTTTTCCGCAGTAAGGTAAAGGTAAAGGTACCCCTGCCCGTACGGGCCAGTCTTGACAGACTCTAGGGTTGTGTGCCCATCTCACTCAAGAGGCCGGGGGCCAGCGCTGTCTGGAGACACTTCCAGGTCACGTGGCCAGCGTGACATCGCTGCTCTGGCGAGCCGCACATGGAAACGCCGTTTACCTTCCTGCTAGTAAGCGGTCCCTATTTATCTACTTGCACCCGGAGGTGCTTTCGAACTGCTAGGTTGGCAGGCGCTGGGACCGAGCAACGGGAGCGCACGCCGCCGCAGGGATTCGAACCGCCGACCTTTCGATCGGCAAGCCCTAGGCGCTGAGGCTTTTACCCACAGCGCCACCCGCGTCCCATGGTTTTCCGCAGTAACCGACCATAAATAAGAAATTTCTTCATGTGCAACTGAAGCCAGTCATAAGAACATAAGAACATAAGGAGAGGCCTTATGGATCAAGCCAGTGGCACATTTAGTCCAGTTTCTTGTTTTCAAGGTGGCCAACCAGTTACCTCTTCTGGGAAACTGGCAAGCAGGACCCAAGCATAAAAGCAGGACTCTCCCTACCCCCCACCCCCGGCGACTTACAGCTACTGGTAGAATCATAGAATCATAGAATCATAGAGTTGGAAGAGACCACAAGGGCCATCGAGTCCAACCCCCTGCCAAGCAGGAAACACCATCAGAGCACTCCTGACATATGGTTGTCAAGCCTCTGCTTAAAGACCTCCAAAGAAGGAGACTCCACCACACTCCTTGGCAGCAAATTCCACTGTCAAACAGCTCTTACTGTCAGGAAGTTCTTCCTAATGTTTAGGTGGAATCTTCTTTCTTGTAGTTTGGATCCATTGCTCCGTGTCCGCTTCTCTGGAGCAGCAGAAAACAACCTTTCTCCCTCCCTTTCTGGTATTCAGAAGCATTATTGCCTCCAACAGTGGAAGTAGTGGAGGCATCATGGTTCAACAATTCCGTTCTGTTTCACCATGGGACTTTCCAATACAAATATCACATGACACATCAGTGGAGCTGAAATGAGTCTTTGCAAAAACTCAAAAGTTTTCTGGAATTTCCAAACTTATCACTAAAAAGTGGAACGATACTTGACAATGAAATTCTGCTTTGACATTTGAAATCTGAGCAACAGATTTTAGATGACACTTCTTGGCTTCTAAATTTTAAAAAGTACAAATGTGTTGCAAGCAGTCGCACACCAAACACACCAATGCTATTCCATGTTGGCCATAAAATGCTGTCAAATATTCTATGGCATTAACATATCACTCATCAGAAATGTTGACTCAACTGACTGCCAAATATCAAATGCCAAAAGAAAAAGTAAAGCAGACTATCTCATATTAAACTAAACATTGTTAAATATTGTCGTTAGTTGTTGATCTTAAAATGAAGGGGTTGGAGTTGGATTGCAGGCAAAACCAAGAGAAGTTGCAGCAGGATCATAACCGCCATTTTGTCTTTAAATAACAATAAAGGGTAAAAGACAGACAGACAGACACACACACAGAGAGGGAGAGAGAGAGAGAGAGAGAAGAAACAAGGCAGAAGACTACTGCTTTTGACATGCAACAAACAGCTGGAACAGCATTGGCCAACCTGGTGCTCTCCAGCTGTGATACAGTGTTTGCACAGTACCGAAATAACATAAAGCATGCACTTGGCTGGCATTCTGATTCACTCCAACCTGATGTTTTCACTGGAGAGAGAGGAGTATGCAGTGTGGAGCTTTTCCTAATCCTTCAAAATGTTTTCACAAGAGGCAAGAGAGAGAAAAGTGCTTTCTTCCTCCGCAATTACAAGTGTTTGCATTAAACAGCTACTTCTTTAAGTGAGTTTCCTTTGGCTTCACAAAGCGGGGACAGGGGGGGAAGGGTCAACGAAGTGGGCTGTGGATGTTTCCTCTCTCCTGTCCTGGCTTTTATATTTTCTGCCAAAATCTTTTAATGCTCAAATCAGTACAGGGAACACAAGCAAAATAAGGTTCAAAGGCACAACAGGTGGTGGACATGGCCAAGAAAGCGAAGAGGTTGAGCCAATGATCAACATGCCTCCTTGGGTCTCATTATAAGGGAATGGGATGGGCACAACTTCAGCAGGGCAAGCAGGGCATTCCTTTGCACTGGACATGGAAAGAGGAACTTCCTTTGGTGTGATGGACCTGAACTTCTTGTTCACACCGCAGCTAGCATCCCTATGACCAAGGTAATAGAGGAGTTGGCAATGGCGGTTCCAAACCAGACCTGGCAGAGGATAGGCTGTGGATGGGTTCTGGCAGTGCTGGTGGTGGTTCCAGGACTGGAGGCAAGGTTGTCATGGGAACTGAGGGAAAAGTGGGCACCGAGCATCTGGTTAACATGAGAAAAAATGGGGCAGATCATTGCAGTGTCACCTCCCACCACTCATTCTGGTCTGACCAGCCCCTGCATGGCATCTCCTCAGGACTCATGACATCTCCTCCCCTCCATGAGGCAGCAGAGTGAGTGAGAGGACTCTACTTGTGATTGGTGCCTTCCCTTATCCATCTATATGAGAGCCTGTGTGGTGTACTGGCTAGAGTATTGGACTAGGACCTGAGAGACCAGTGTTCAAATCCACCACCACCCCTGCCTGGCCCTGAAGCTCACTGGGTGGCCTTGGGCCAGTCAGCCTAACCTACCTCATAGGGCTGTTGTTGGGGTTGAATGAGGAGGGGAAGAACTATGTATGCCACCATGAGCTCCATGGAGTTAAAAGTAATATCCCACTTTTTCTCCGGACTTGGACTCAAAACAGCTTTCACAAAGCAAAACAATACAGATAAAATACAAAAAGCTACTAACATATTTTAAAAATCATTAAAAAGTAATTGTGGGGGGGTACTGTTTTTACTATCTGTATTTTTGCATATACATAAACATGCACACACACATTAAAATACAGATAGTAAAAACAGCACAGCACTGTTAAAACCCTTTCCTTAAAGAACTGTCAGTTCCCAAAGGCCTGTTGGAATAAAATAGTCTTCACCTGCTCAAGGACGGACAAGGAAGCAGCCAATCTAGCTTCTCTATGAAGTACCAAAGTCTGGGAATAGCCACTGAGAAGGCCCTGCTCTGGGATGCTATGGCTACTCCTTCATCATATATGATCAAGGCCTTCGGTAGAAAGCCAGCATTCTGTTTTGCTTTCTACCTAGGATTATCAAGAAACGATGGGAGCTGGATTTCAAGCATAATTTCATAACTTCTCAAAAGGTTATGGTTATGAACTTGTGGATAGCAGGGAAGAAAGTTCAGACACCTTGAAAGACCCCAATAAATAGCTGGTGACCTGCATTTGTCTTAATGGGTCATATAAACAGGGGTCACGAACCTTCTTGAGCTTGGG